CCGGCGCACGTCGGCGGCCGCACGCTTCATCGCAGCTCGTCGGCGGCCGCACGCTTCATCGCAGCTCGTCGGCGGCCGCACGCTTCATCGCAGCACGTCGGTTGGCGCACGCTTCCACGCCGGTGGCCGCTGTTTGACGCCACGTCGGTGTCCGCCTCCTGCCGCATTCTCGACGCCACGCTTCGACGCATTCGTGTGCTCTCATCCATTCATCGTGGGACCAGTGTCGACCATGGACACGCGTTCCCTATTGGTGGGTGAACAATCCAACGCTTGGAGAGTTCTGCTTCACAATGACTGGAAGAGCCGGCATCGAAGGATCAGGTCAGTGGTCTGACTGAAGACGTGGTCTGACTGAAGACGTGGTCTGACTGAAGACGTGGTCTGACACTGCCCGTTGGTCCTTTTCACTCGAGTGATAGTGGTTCGAGGTTTTTTTTTTTCAGCTTCGCAGGAACGTGATGCCGCAACGCCGCACCAAAGCTCTGCTACGACGCCGCGACGGTGGCCTGCTGCAACGCTGGCCTGCTAAGACTGCATGAGTACTGTTCGACGTGGCCTTCAAACCTGGCCGACTATCTTCCCCAGGCCGCACTCATTGGCTTTTGGTGTGCAGCACTGCCCGCCACGGTTTGCGTGCACTCTGAGTGGCTGTAGGCGGTGCTCCTTCTCATGTTCCCCAGGCATATTCTCTCCTGGTCTCCTGGTGCGGCTCCTGCCGCCGGGCCTGTCTCACGCTTCGCCTTACCTGACGCACCCTGGCCCTCATTCTGACCGGGCCCTTGTGCGTTGGTTTTTGGGGGTCCAGAGATCTCCTATCGAACATCAATCTTCCTGGGTAAGTGTACTTCATGAATCTCATTTTCACATTCTAGTCTCCCCAAGTGGAATCATGTTCGAATATCAGCGCTCTAAACACCAGCAGTTTTGTGAGTTTTCCTTGCCATGCAGGAGGGTCTGGACAGTTAGTGTCCAACTAGAAGGCCCGTGGTGATGATCCAGGATACTTTACATTCTACAACATGTATGGACATTTTATCAACATTCATAGACTATAATTACTCCTTAAACAATCCCTTGACGACCCCCTGGTCTGAACAAATTCAAAACCTGCGCTCCCTGCATGTAACCTCTCTTCCTTTCTCTACACCCGCCACTCCTTCCGGATAGGAGCAGCCACTTGGGCTGCTGCCCTGGGACTCCCTCAATTATCTCTCCAGGAGCTCGGTCCCCGGTTCTCTACCACATTCATCCGTTCTGGCAGCCCAGCGCCTCCTCTCATATAAGTACGTATGCATCTCCTGGTGGTGGCAACTCCTCATCCCAGCATGCCGCGCACTCGAGCCGAGCTCGTGCGCGTGCCAACGCCTAGCGCTAGAGCCAAGCTCGCGCACGGACATTACGCCGCGCACTCGAGCCGAGCTCGTGCGCGTGCCAACGCCTAGCGCTAGAGCCGAGCTCGCGCACGGACATTACGCCGCGCACTTGAGCCGAGCTTGTGCGCGTGCCAACGCCTAGCGCTAGAGCCAAGCTCGCGCACGGACATTACGCCGCGCACTCGAGCCGAGCTCGTGCGCGTGCCAACGCCTAGCGCTAGAGCCGAGCTCGCGCACGGACATTACGCCGCGCACTTGAGCCGAGCTTGTGCGCGTGCCAACGCCTAGCGCTAGAGCCGAGCTCGCGCACGGAAACAGTCACTCGCACCATGCGCCTTCCATAAACGCAGCAACCAAGTCGTGGCAAACGCATTGCTAGCCAAGCTCTCTTTTTGGGGATCATGATCTGCACCCAGGCGCAGATCTCTTCAGAGCACGGCCACAGCCGGGGCCTAAGCTCCAAACCAATAAACAAACTCAATCCATAAAATAAACAACTCTTAAACGCATCTCGTCTCTTGTAGTCTCTCCAGGTTGAAATGCAGCTGAAGCGGAGGTTTAGGATGGTAGACTACCTACGTTATCACACCAGGCTTAACCACGCCTTACTCAGCCTGTCTTAATCAACTCCCCGCAGCCGTGTCAATCAAGCCAGCGTTTAAGAGAACAGCAGAGCACAGCTCACCAAACGGACTTCAAGCTGCAACCACCTCCTCCCCACCTCCGCCTCAGGATTTCTTCACTCACATTCACCTTGCCTTGTTGCCACCACCAGTGTCTAGGCCCCGGGGGATCATGATCTGCACCCAGGCGCAGATCTCTTCAGAGCACGGCCACAGCCGGGGCCTAAGCTCCAAACCAATAAACAAACTCAATCCATAAAATAAACAACTCTTAAACGCATCTCGTCTCTTGTAGTCTCTCCAGGTTGAATCGCTAAAATGTTCAATTGTTAAAGAATCTTCTTATTGTTGCAATGAGAAATAAAACATTTAAAATTTCAGTTGTATTAGTTTTATGAATTCCCAAGGATAACACAATGCTGTACTTGAATCGGTTCTCAGTATCAGAAATATACTCATATTAAGGTACTCGTATCCGTTTTGAAAAAAGTGGAATCGGAGCATCCCTATTTGTCAGCTGTATGTAAATATCAATGTTGTGCGTATTTATGAAATAAGTCTTAACAAGTTAAAATCTAACAAATCATTAACCTTATGTACATAAACCGGAACCTCTGATGGTGTGATGTTATGAATAAATGCTCAAATACATATTTTGACATATTACATGATTATTGATCCACCTGACCATGCACGGAAAGTTTAAATTAGATTAAATAACAATATATATATTTTTTCCATTCAAGTCAAAAACCTGAATGAAAAGAAGTTTTGTTAAGGTGTATGTAAACTTCAGAGTTCAAATGTCACTGAGATTTAATGGAGTCTTCTTCGGTCTGAACCCTCCTGAATGTTCCAATGTTGATTACTACATACAGTAGTTAGTTGTGGTTGCTGTGGTAGTTGTTTTAGTAGCAGCACAAATAGTTGAGGCATATTAGTTGCAGTGCTCTGTTTTGGACGGGCTTATGTCATTTCTGTGAAGGCCTTCAGTTTTGATAAGAATGTTCCAACAATAATCCCTGGACCAAAGATAAAAGTTAAATGTTTCTTATGGGTTTGACAGACACCCTCTTCCACACACAATTTCAGAATCGTTTTAGCATCAGGGCCTACGTAAAGCTGGGGTATGCAACTTCCAATTTTGAAACCCATCTAACCAGTCCCAAGGAAAATAAGTTGGTTCTATCATTAGTTTTGTGTTGAATGCATGTTTGGCAGTTTAAAAAAAAAAAAAAAAAAAAAGGACCACCCCCATCGAATCAGCTCTCAGCCTATACCCTCAAATAGTGACTCACAAGGCTCTTTCTTATGTTTTCTAATAGACAAAGACGGCATCCTTTGGTGTGATTTGTTCAGAATGTTTTACTATTGACACAGCTAATTCAGTGAAGTTAGATACAAGTTGGCATACAAGTAAAAACAATCACACAAATCAAGACAATGCCAAGTTGGATTTCTGTTTCTCTCTCTCTCCCAGGCCAAACGCTTATGGTCGGAACGTGGCAGGCCCATCACAGACCTTGACAGTAAATGGCTTTGACCCAGATCAGTGAGTGTTTCGCGGTTTGTGTCCTCAATTTTGGGTCATCGTAAAATGGATGGCCTTTGAAGTTTTTTTTTTCCAGCCGAGAGCAGAAACAGCTGGAGTGGCTCAGTTCTAACACAAGCTGCACTTTAGAGAAACCGACCGTAAATCACTGAAAGACTTAACTCTTCTGATTATCTCCAAGTTGAAAGCAGAAGAAAGATATTTTTGCTTGCTTTTATTATTATTATATATAGGTGATAGGTCGGCAACTCGTGAAATTGTCTCTGTCTGCACAATATGAAAAGTAACTGATACACACTGATAAATGGGTCAAAATAATTTGGTTGTATTCCCATCTTTTTTTGTTTGTTCCATGAATATATTTTGTTTGTCCCAAGATAAGAATTCTTGCTGTCTTTTTCTCATTAGAAAACATTATTTATTTACATACTCAGAGCTGATAGTATGGTACTCTTTTTCACTTTTGTATGCATCTGAAAACTAGTTTTAGAGCCAGGAACTAGTTAGTTGGATGTGTATAATTTTTCTTTGTAATCTTATTCATTTTTGGGTACTTGACACAACCATGCTCAGCTTAGGTGTCAAGGAAGTAACAGTTACAACCAAGATGTAGAAATGGTAATTAAATAATAGTTTATTTAGATGACAAAATAGGTAAAAGAAGTAACAAAATAGGATTCAATATTTACATTAACACATTAACACACTCAACTAAAACTACACAGGTCACAAGTCAGATTAAAGGACCAGTCACCAGCACAAGTGACAGAACACAGACAAACTGGAGTCCACTGACCCCAGCTTACCAGTAACAGTACTTTGTCTTTAAGTATTAGGTATGTTCAAATGACATGCTGCTCTCCTGAGTGCGGCCATAGCTCTCTTCTTCAAAGTTGGAAAGTTAAAGCAGAGAGTCAGAGTGACAAATATACACGCACAGACAGATTTAAATGGTATATATTTCAGCCTTAAGTTGGCATTAGAATGAACATCAAAGTGTAAATCTATATAACACACTTTGATTTGAATTACTTTTGACATACTGTACAGATAAAGGCTGTTTAGTTCTTGTATCAGTTTCAGCATCTTTCATCGCCTTGAGTATCGCCTTGAGTATCCAGCACTCGAACACGTGGCCCAAAACGCGAGTCTGCAGTGAGAAAATGGGTGTGAACTTCATAAGACCTAAACTTGACCCATTTTCAAATGTTCTGGATAGTTTTGACGCCAGTTGAGTGTTAGATCAGAGAGTTGGCCGTGTGTGTTTGTGTGCGTGAGTGTGTGTTTTGTTATTTTCTATGGTTCTTTATGTATTTAGCATTACAAATATAAATGTCTTTTATGTTTGATGGATATGCGAGGCTCAGAAATAAACTTCTGGATTGATTGTATTGATCCCAAAGTCCGTACTTCTCTTGAATAAACAGTTTTTTGTCTTCTCTTTTTCAGGTCCATTAAGCCCGACTTTGTCCTAATCCGCCAGCACGCCTACAGCATGGTCCCCGGAGAGGACTTCAGGAACCTGGTCATCGGGCTGCATTTCGGGGGTGTCGCTGGCATCAACTCCCTCTACTCTATCTACAACTTCTGCAGCAAACCCTGGGTGGTAAGAGAGAGGAGGGCGGGGTAATGTTGGTACTGATATTGGCTGGTATTGGCTGGCTATGTTTAAAAGGAGACGTGCTGAATTAACTTTTTTCAGCCTTTAACCATGTTACAATGTTGTTCCCGCATCGAAACAGACCTTGAGTTGCTTTTTGATCTATCCAAGGTAACATTAGGAACTTCTGGCATGAACACGTACCTGCCCTTTCTGTCCAAAAGCTCCTGTCTCAGCCCTGTGTTATGTAATGTACCACCATGCTTGTACCACCAGTGTTTCATTACCGAAACCAGGATAAAAATAGCGAGTTAGTGCGTTGAGAAGTCACTTTTCTTTTTGGAGAAGCCTATTTTGCAAATGCGACAAGCTTTGTCAAAAGTTCTGTCTCTAAAAACACTGGTCAAAAGTGGATTTGAAATTTGTGTTGGCTGACGATAAACAAACAGGGATAACAAACAGATCATAACAGTACATTTATTTTTTGTGTAATTTGGGAAAATGTCTATTTTAAAGAAGAAAAAGGAGAGGACAACAACAACAACAACATTTCCAGTAGTTTATTTGCGAAACTTTTGTTCATAGCTCATCTTTTAAATTTTTGTTTGGATTGAAACAGAACTAAAATAAGGCAGTGGGGTACAATACTGTAAATGTAGTGGTTGGTTTCCAGAGAAAAGTACCTCTTAAGTGAGGTATAAAGCTAGTTTAGGAAGATTTATTTTGTCTTCTTAGTAGAATTAAAAGTATTGGGTTTATACCAGACAATATAAGGTTTGACTGCGGCTGGGAACAGCAGCTGATAAAAGGCACGTCATGTATGGCGTCGCAAGACGCTTCTGAGGAAGACGCAAGTTATCCGTCGAAACATGTCAAGGTAATAACACCACATAAACCTTATATTGTCTGGTATAGAAGAACACAATACTTTTGAGGTATAAAGCACCATGCAGAATATTGCCCGGTTGGGAAGAAGTTAAGGCTGAAAGTTGAGCTTGAAAAAAGCGTTTCTAATAGCGTGGTTTGCGTCTCCAGTTATGTTTGTGTGTTTTCAGTTCTCCCAGATGATAAAGCTGTATCACTCCTTGGGCCCAGAGAAGTTCCCCTTGAACGAGCAGACCTTCTTCCCCAGCCACGCGCAGATGGTGAGTGGCAAACAAAAACCAAGGCCAAACATGTCAGCTTTTTATCAACTCTTTATTATAAAAATATAAAACAGAAATTAAGTCGTACATCTCTCTCTAACCCCTACAACAAAACAGCTCCCCCGGATTTCTGTAGAAGCTTGATCAATATTTCTGAGCTGAAGTGAGGATAATTTGAGTCACAGAGAAATATCAGTAATGCCACAGAGCGATAAGTTGAGGAATACTTCGCATTTATCGGTAGGAGGCAACATTTTTCACAATGTATCTTGAAAAGCAGTGAGTGTGAGCAATGGACACACTCACAGTTTACAGAGCTCCTTTAAAGCTTTGTAAACTTGTCATGTTCACACTTTTTATTGAGGCATATTTACTGTGGCATACTGTCATTTTCATGGAATGGTTTGAATGTACTGCATTGATCTGATAACTATAAAAAACAGGTAAAATGAAATTGGATTTAGTTACAATATTGTTATGTTGATTCTTATACGGTATATATTATAATGTCCATTTCAAATAGTTAAATACAAAAAAGATTGAATAATATACACTTACAAAATACTTATGTGTGAAACCTCTGCACTGGGCTTATTTCAATGGACGGACTTCGTGACAATATGCAAAAGGAAGATTTTAAGTTTGCAGTTGGCAGTGCTGTGGGTTTTACTGTCATTTGTTCTTTGCTTAGAAATCATGAGTGTGACTTTAGATTCCAGTTGCAGAGGTTTCAGCAGACTCATAATATATAGCTTATGTTATATACAGCATAAAGTCATCAGAAATGCAGGGGCCCATTGCCTCGCCGCATGCTTCTTGTAACAGACAGCGTTCAGTCACACACACACACACTCACGCACACATGCTACAGTAAATACATGGCAACAATTTAGACACCAATGTGACCTAGAAGCAGATGCAACAATATACATTATTTATCATTATTTAATGGTCATGATTGTTGGCACTATGTTTTACGGTTCATGTTTAGTAGCATAATATAAAGTAACGCAGTTGAAACGCCGTCTACACATCTGTCCTTTTACACAGACCAATCATACCACGTAAGATGTTGTGTTCTACAGCCAGTGCAAACCAAACCTGATTGCGTGAGCAGAGCAATCGACAGCAAAACCCTGAAGCCTTCTGAAAGCTGGGTGCGGATATTGGCCAGTTTGATTCCGAACTGGGTTTCAGTGTTGCATTAGAATTATAGTTTCCATTTGGTTAGATTTGAAGACTTCATATTTCATTTACCACAAGGGAGTGTGTCTACCTAGTCTACAGATGGATATGGGCGGTTTTACATAAATATAACTGGCTTCTGATTTGTGTGGTAAATTGTGCATAGTTTTGTAAATTGCCTGAAGGATTTATTAATAACAACGTATTAACCAAATAGCGGCTAGTTTAACATTAGATTGTACACATTGTTACTGGACACTACGGATAGCACTGATGTTGCTATTGTATAGTGTGTTGGATCGGTATTGACTTCTATGATGGATAAAGATGATATCCTGATTCATACCTATGTTGTTCTGTAGTTACTTCTGGATGAAGCCATTTTGTAATGAGTTAGCTGTGTTTTGAGGCGCAAAAACTCTATATACTGCTTTTATAATAAATAAATTACATAGGTACTTGGTTTCAGTTTCAGTATCGGAAATGAACAAGCTCGATTGGTGCATCCCTAATGACGACCCGCCCTTGATGAATATGTCCGACGTTTTTGTCAAGTTTTGAATGTTGCATGTTTCCATCATCTACAATTGGCTGAAAAAGTGGTCTCCTGATCAGCCTGTTCAAATCCATCATAATTCATCTAGCTAAGCTTTCCATTCAAGCCAATTACAGAGCAAGCACACACAATAAAACCACATTCACACAAAGTCCCAAAACACTTTGTCTGTCACAAAAGGGCAAAAATATTGACTTTTGAGATTTGGCAAGACTGATCAGTACAATAGTATAATAATCTATTCGGAAGTGCTATTTAACAGGCACTGTCATAGATGGGTGCAGTGTTTCTTTGTGCCCCGTCAAAGGATGCCCACGTGCAGTGAGCCAAGTAGTCCAGTAATACTTAAGTTTAAAGTATGTGGATGTCTTGGGGGTTTGGGTTTGGGGGGTGGCAGTGGATCGGCGGCTGGTCTTTGAAGTTCACGGGTCGGTGGCGTTGATGGCAGTTTTGTCACGGGACGTCATTCCCCGGTACCAGCTGCAGTAGCCCTCCTTCTGCTGGATGCAGGCATAGTGTCTGGACTGGTACCCAGGGTAGCCAAAGTGGGACAGCATGTCGGTCCAAAGGCACTCATTCTTGGACGTCACAAAGCAGGGAAGGTAGTGGCATGCCTTGATCTGCAGAGACACAGGGAATATGAACCATTAAGCTACGTCAAGTCAAATATACAAAATAAAGAAACAAAAAAACTAAATATTAATACATAATATAATACATCTAGAAAACAAAGACAATAAAGTTAATGAAATATAAAAGATAGAAATGCAATGTACTCAAATAAAAATCTAAAATATATGCAAATACATAAAAGACATAGGCCCACACAACTCATGCAGCGTTAAAAGCAAGAGAATCAAATGCAATGTTAAAAGCATGAGAATAAAAGTGGGTCTTAAGAATACTCAAATGAGGGAGCTGGTTTGACATGAGGAGGCAAAGCGTTCCACAGCTTTGGACCAGACTCAGAGAAGGTCCTCTTCCTCTGGGTTTTAAGTCTTGATAAGACAAGATTTTTTAGAATACAAACCATCTGAGTTCGTATTGTTTGGATTGAAGGAACTGGTCAGTGTGACGTTGTTTATTGGGATAAGCGACAGGCATTTAAAGCTGGGGAACATGCATAACTAAGAAACCACAAACACTCATCTATGCATTCTGGTTACTGGCTGTCATGATGTAGAATTCTATGTCAGTTGTTAAGAAGAGATGTTCAAATGTTTTCCCAGATCATTGTTAGCTGGTGATTAGATTCACAAACACGCCATGTTATTCTAATGTCTGAAAGTCTGATTAGGTCAAAATCATGCATGTTGTTCACATACATGATTGAATTGGGTGCAGCTCTGACTGCCAACCCCAGACTCAGAAATGGATTAAGGGGAAAGAGATTTCTTCTAGACATCTTTATGAAAATGTATTTTGACCACGTACTATAGATAAGATGTGAAACTTTGAGAGTTTTTATTTCATGCGGATTGGCCCAGGAGATATTAGCACTAAACAAAAACTAGAATCTGTGTTTTGACAGTTACCATAGTTACCAGGAAAGATTTTTCAGCTGCTCCTCACCACAATGTCAAGTTTTTGTAATGTTGTGATGTCTCATGGAGAACCTATTATAGTACATTTTAATTCTAAACACATTGATAAGTCCTATTCAACTTTACTCCCCCCAGGGGCCATGGTTTTGGATTAGTCTGACATAGATGCTATACATACGTTAGACTGCTTTGGCAAGCTTCGCCTTTTCTCTTTTCACTCCCCTATATGCGTCATTCATGCTCAATTTAATGAAATGGGTCACATCTTTCTACACACTGACATCTTCATCTCTGTCACCGCTTACTACACCTCCAGTTCCATGCTTCAAAACGTCCTTCACTCCCCCGATGGTGCATTCTCCGATAATCCTTTTCTTTTTTGCCTCATATGTTTGCGTCACTCACAGGTGCACGTACAAAGCACCGCTCGGGGCTCAATGCGACTGCATGCTTTATATAACCAGTTAGCGCGCTGAGGAGCGGAAAGGATTCGTGACGGCACAACCTCAAAGCACGCGGGTGGGATAAGAGACACTTTCCTGGATGCGAGCACGTCAGTAAATTCAATTAGTTTTGTCCTTTGAGGATCGCGAAACATCCGGTATTCAGTGTTGTTGATTACTTTTGTGGATAATAATTTCCAAGAGGGCGCAACATGCTTCCTGCGTCGTCAATGGTAAATGATTAGGAGCGAAGGAATGTGCTGTAGCAATACGCGGAGAGCGGAGAGTCAGATATTAATGGGTGGATGTCATTTGTAATGTGTGACCTGTGCTGGTGTTTGTTTTCAGATGTCATTGCACAAGTAGCAATGAGTTGTTCCATTCCACTGTATTGCCCTACAGTGGCAATACAGTCCACCATCTTTTATCCATGGAGAAAGGATCATATTAGAGAGATGTCGTTCACTAAGGGAACTGTTGAGTATCAGTTTACACCAGACATATTAAACTAAAACAGTCCCTCCAAGCATCAGATCCATTTCACCGCCCATCTCTCCAAATATAAAGGAAATATTCAAGGACAGTGTAAGAAAATAGTCAATAGTCTTGGACTGATCAGGGATGTTTTACAAAATTCCCATTCAGCTTTTAGTGAATGGGCTTACAATAAATGTATTTTAAATTAAAATAATTAAAATAGTAAATCTTTTTTTTTTTTTTTTATACAATTAGCGTAGAAGTGGTTTGGGTACAGCAGTAATAGTCGCATTGATTGATTTAACTTTGTAACTGCAGAGATTTGTGTCCTGGAACATTCGCTCCTTTCTCAGAGTGGATGTTGGCTCCTTGTTTGGCTCATTCCCTCTTGACTGGCCGCTGATGGATGGCCTTTCGCGGACGCCTCGGGGGGCGCTGGCACGCTCTCTCCCAACTCACGGTTTTGCCAGTGCCTGCTTTGCATTGGGAACCCATGCACCCTTCTGCTTATCCACTTACTCTGAGGGGGCCGGCAAAGGCAGCAGATGTCCGTACAGTAGGGCCCTCAGCAGCTGCATGTCTTATACTCATAAAACTGGGAATGAAGATGTGAACAGCTCCAGTCGCGTAATCTGACCGCGTCTCGCCAACCCGCCCAACTTTAACGAAGCAAGAAATCCACCAAGAGTCAGGCCAAGTCTCCAATGGAAAATATTTTCATTTTGTTTTGGGGATTGACAAAACATTGGGGTGAAATTGTATGAGAAATAGGATCTGGGAAATGTGTACATATTGGGTCAGCCTGCTCCGCATTTCTTCCCAGGGCGATTGTCATTTATCCGATCTGCATAAGTTCTAGTGTTGTCAGACTAAACTATTTTTCTAAATCAATTTCATATCAGAAACATCTAAATGCACCACAAAAATAATTCATAAATGCAAAATAAGTATACTTTTTATGGGGCCATGAGGATGATCAAGACATGTGAAATTCAATGCTGGCTCAATTTAGCATCTAGCTCTAACAACTCCAGTGTGTTTGTTACGGTGCTTTTGAACAGATTCTCAAAAGAGTAGTGCTATACTTGTGTGTGGCTCAGTATTTTGGTGTTTACGGTGGTCCCTCACACCACACGGTTCACCTTTCGTGGCCTCAGTTTCACAGATTTTTTGCCGTTTTTCCTGCTTTTTTACAGTGCTTTTTAGCTTATTCTATCAAAGACGGAATGTACATGCTTTTCTACTCATTCATCGACACACATTATACATGGTCTTTGCTTACATTTTAGCACTTTTCACATCTATGCTGAGTGTCCAGCTCTGTAGCCTGGATCCTTCAACAACAGAATGTGTTCAGGCCAAGAATCTAAACCCGCCAAGGACTGAGAACTGTTTGTCAGTGGCATCCAAAATAAATATTACGAAGACCCTAAAACCAGTATTCAACAAAAAGCAATAACAATTTCACATATATATTAAAAGGGTTTAGGCTGAGGTTTATTCGATCATTGACCTGAACAATATTTACGTACTTGTAAAAGTAAAATGATGAAACAGACCACAACATGCTGTGTTTTTCTTTTAAACCATTTTATCTTTTGCAAAAGAGCCTTGTGAGTCACTATTTGACACTTTGGGTTGAGAGCTGATTGGCTGAGCTGGAGTGGTCTCCTTTTTTCACTTTCCTAAAGCTGATTTTAAGGTGTGACAGGGCCTAAAAAACACATGCATGTATTTTTTAAGTATTTAGAAGCAAATTGAAACATGGAATTCGTTTTAGGACATTTTGTGAATTGGCTCAATGAACCAGGATTCTTCAAGTCGGTATTCAAACACTTTCTCTTACTTCTCTGGCCTTCGTGTCCTTCAGCAGCCCCACTGAACCCCTTTGCCAGCACCAGAAACAGTATCTACAATAGTTTCAGTTGAAGTAGCAGTGGTGGTAGCAGCAGGAGCAGCAGTAGTTGTAGTATTGGGAGTAGTAGTAGCAGTGGTGACAGTGGTGGTGGTACTGGTAGTAACGACTGCATTTAATTGCATTGTTCTCACATTGTAATCATAATAATGTTTAATCTAATCTAATCTAGTTGTAGTAAGCAGTAGCAGCAGCAGAATGTACTCACCCTACAGTTGCATCCAAGCTGGTACCGGTGGTTGATGCCCTTCTTCTGGGCCAGGGACAGCCGCTCCCACCTCTCGTTGAAGTTACAGAGTCCAGTGTAGACCTTCCCATCGTACACTCGTCCTGAGGGGAAACAATATCATCTTCATCTTTAGATTGATTTTTAGATATTTTTTCTTACCATTCACACAACATGTATTTATTAACTGGAATGTTCCATTTTGTTCTCAAGGGGGTACTCAGATAGAGCAGAAGGAAAGTATAGAATGATGCACAAAATAAAACACACAAAAAGCCAGACAACTCATGCTATCACAAACATACACACGAACATAGGCACCTCCACTTGATTAAAAGGAACACAGTTTAAAAAACAAAACAAGCAACAGTCAAAACTACAAACAATGACAAATGTAGTAGAAAGAAAAAGATCGGAAATGAGGATCACGTGGAGCCTTGAACGGAAACGCAGACTAAGTTCCCCGCTTAAAAATGATCTGTGTGCCGTAAGAGATAGGTAGAACTATAAGGTAGGAAATAATGGTTAAAATGATGGGTATAGTTAAATGTGTATTATGCTACTTTTATGCAAAAAGTTAGTATTTTTGCCTATTTGACTTTGTAGTGACCCAGAGGCTGCATGAGTGGTCCTTATGGCGCCTTCATTTTTGATCAGGGTCGTGTCTACGGTGCTCCAGGATCGATTGTTTTGTAAGTTTTCTGGTGCAGGGGTTCACCAACCTTACAACCTTACAAGCACTTGACCCTGTAGCGTCCTGGAGACCACTGTGATGGAAAGTAAAGATACTATGCTGCCACAGCCACTGGGTCTCTATAGGAAAGGACCATGCTGTGATCATTTCAGCCAATTCAATTTTTTCCCCTATAAATATAACAAATACATATTCTAAACGGTCTCTCTAGAAATGTCATAGTCCTAATACCTTTGAAACTATAAACAAAGCCCCAAGTCATGCAATCCTCTGTGTTTATCTCTGTAAGACGAGCTTACATAGTAAACCCCAATAATATCACACCGGCCCTATTTGTGTCTATTAGTGAAGGTCGTCACAAGTCTATTCTGAGTACTCCGAGCACTAACCCACTCCCCGAGCGAGGGCGCATGGGAACTTGCCAGAGTTCATCACACATCACAAATTGTCACAAAACATTGTGCTAATGGCGCGTGCTTTGGGCAGCTCTGAAGCGGGCTCTCCCACACACTCTGGACTCACCGGAGCACCTCGCGGCCCTTGTTACATGCTGAGGAGTGGACGACATGTTCCCTAAAATACTGAAGGTCCTACCATAGGGCGGGTGGGGGGGCAGTGCCTGTCATGTGTTGCTATTTTGTTAATATTATGTTTGAAGAGAGGGCAATACACTGATTAGATGTATTTTGAGCGTATTAATAATATAAATGGTTCTTGGTCGATTTCAAGTTTCAAGTCAAACACAGGCCTAGTTTATGATTCTGTCCATTTATTGAATTCAGTTTTGCCAAAAGTTAATATTTGTTGTGTGTGCACTGTTAGCATAATAGTTTTGTCTGACAAACTGCTGCTTTCTTTCACACATTTGTCTCTTATATGAGAAGCCATCTTCACAGTATCAATTCATGAAATTAAATGAAGTGAGATTTAGTTACATTTAATGCATACTATAGAAAACTGCAAGCCACAGACCACCACTTTCACTCACTTAGATGTTAGTGTCTGAACCAACAGTTTTTTGAAAGATCAGAAACCTGGACTATGGTTCTATATTAACCCATTAAGGGCTGACACAGCTGGTAAAACAGACCTGTAAAACCTATGGCCGACTTCAGAACCACCTCCAAAACCTGAAGTTTTCCTAAAATTCAATGTCTACATAATGATTGATATCTCGGCCTCTGTCGCAGATAGAAACATAATTTCAAAAGAATTTGAGAGCTGACACTTGTGGCTTTTCAACAAGAGGGCATGTATTATTATAAACCTTCAGTTTATACAGGGGAGACATGGGGGAGAGACATGGGGGAGATACGGGGGAGACAGGCAAGACCCGCACGTGCAACAAGCTGGGGATGGTCCTTATCGCACATGTATGATTCTGTCCGTGCGTCTATGGTCCGCGGTACATGACCACGTTACGGCTGCGCATTCGCTGAGCTGTGTCAAAGCGGCCACAGTTGCTCTCGAGGTCAGAACAGAGGATGTTAATCCCGTTCGAGTATGTAACGCAAACAACAACAATTGGTCCAAAGAATTGATCAATGAAGAGAATAGGTCAAAAAAAGAAAAAAAGACATGTCTGCTTTCCCGGCCTTAAAGGTAGAACTGCACAACAGCGCTCCCGACTTGAAAGGTAGAAACGTGGGAATGCGTTCCTGGCCTCAATGGGTTAATCGGTAATGTTTTTGTTTTTTTAATTTAATGATTTTTTGTTTGTTTGAGACAGTATAGGTGTTAATGAATATACAATATAACGATACTAAACGACTAAATCAAAAAACACAAAAAAAATCATATGGGGAGATGTCCATAAACTGGTTTGAGACTGAAACCAAGAAATAGTAAGAGTTGACACAGAAGGCTTGAGTGTGTTCAATATGGTTTATTCTGTAGAGTTGTGTCCAGGTCTGCCTTGCGGTCCCCTCTAAACACACTTATTATAGATGTCCTGGGACCATGAGCAAGACGTCACCGGTGTCACCCTCACCCCGCCGCTGTAAACATACCCCCCTCGCTGCTAGGAAACGAGAAACGGCCACATAGACGCACAGACACCAAAGTCATGCACCCCACTTTACACTTAGGAATAGCAACTCGTAAAAAATGGCGTTTGCTTCCTGCTAATTACGACTTGTGAGAATGAGCAAAGTGATTTTGTGGCTGCGAGTGGAGCGAAAGGAAAGAGTTTTGGGCTTTTTTTGTGAAAGGAAAGGTTATAAATAATTGCGGGATGTTTGTGTCACAAGACAAATGAAAAATTCCTTGGGGAGGAGGGATAGACTCAGAGATGGGAAAGGGTGGGGAAAGTGAAGGAGGACGGAGCAAGAGAGAAGGAGGCGACTGCTCTTGTGGTTTCAGGTTCAACCAAAAGACATTGAATTGAATAAGACAAAGTGAGTCGAGACCTTGCAGATTTCACCCGGTTTTTATGATGAAAACAATATTCACAAAAAATGCAAGAATTCTAACTCTATAAAGATGTTTGAAAGATTATTACTAATTGTGATTAAAAATAAATATTTGTGGAACGTTCAATGTTATTTGCTGACATTTCAGAGGGTTTGTTTAATAGTTTAAAAAAAAAAGTTTGCTTTTGATTTATTATTATTTATATATTTTTTCAGCATAAGACTTTTGTTTTGGCATTATGGGAAAAAAATGAAACAAAACATAATAAAATATACAGTAAGATAATCCTATTCAGGGTTGTGGGCGTTTACCTGTGATGAGATACTGGTACTTATTGATGTCAAACTTGACTCCACACAAGCTCTCGGAGGCGTCTGTGTAAATGTGCTGGACGTGCTGCACTTTCTCGAAGCCTTTGTACATCTGAAACCCAAACCACAAGAACAAGTTAGAAATATACTTATACAGTATGTACAGCTCTTTGGTTTGTTCAGTTTGTGTGTGTTTTATTGAAGTATCTGTCCATCAGGAATGTGCACTTTCTCTAATAAAAGGATCAACCCATGAGTTGTTTTTCAGGTCTGACACCAATACCAGTGAAAATGTATTTATTTAATGTAATTAAAAAGGGTGTCACAATTGTGGTTAATATGAAACCCCACATTTAAAGCCGGTATACCTAACTTTCAAACCACAAAAATTGAACTATGTAATCAAATCTAAGCCACTTGGTCCTCGTTCTCAAAACACTTCTCTTCTGTCACTAGTTTTCACATAAATATTTCATTGGCCTCTATCACTGTAGTAACTGAATTTTGTCTTCATATTGGACGATGGGAACCAAAGAACAACTAAAGCTGAGGCTCTATGTTTTCACAACAATCATATTTAATCTCACATAATTAGTCGATTGTTTTGGCTAAAAAGGTAATAATAGTTTTTTTAATGTTGTAAAGTTATGGGACAAATATCTTTTGACTATAACATTACAATGTGCAATGTGAAAATGTAGCTAATTTTTAGCACATGCCTGTTCTCACAGGACATATTTATTCTAGCGATATGATGGGATTTTGTATAATCTGAGACCAATGGACACACCACAATAGTGGAAGAAATCTCCACTGGTTTGATTTTATCTTAGAGGAGACATAGTTAAAAGCAGATTTTTAACTATGTTACAACACTGTTCCCCACCAGTTACAGACCTGGAGTTGCTTTTTTGATCTATCCATGCTAATATTAGAGACTTTTGGCACAAACATGTAACCCCACTCCTTGTGCTCTTGTCTTATGCTGCTTTCATGCAATCTCTGAAACTCGGAAGTTTCAACTTTCCACTCAGAATAAGGGAATGAACGCTGCTCAACTGATGTGTGTCATCAGCGTCACTGGCTCCTCATGAACACTCTGACAGGTGAAATCACGTTCTTTGTAATCACATGGTTGTGTTTGCAGCCAGTAATTTAAAAATTTGGAAAATAAAAAATAGCCTTTAAACTTGATACTTGTATCACTATATATTTTTGAAGCTAGCTAAAATGGGTAAAAAAGGTGTAAATAATCTCCCACTTTAAGTATTACATTGTTCTGGGAGATTCACAAAGTCTAAACAGGGATTTCCTGTTGTGGCTAGACAAATAAATTAGCAGGATGTCTCCCGCAATGTCTCTCAGGGAAGATACTGTTTTGCAGAAGGTGTTTGCATTCAAGACATGCCTTGGCATTCAGATAATTGACTTAATCTTTGTAAATGCTGTCAACTACAAAGTGAAAATAGGTCAGCTTAAGATGGTGTTGAAAAATCCAATGCTGTTTAGATCTTTCAACACAAACAGTCATTGTAGTAGTGCGTGTGAGCGGCGTAAACAGTGGAAATCAGCGGAGCTGTATAAAGCTGGTAAAGCCCCTAATCCTGGGAGAGGACTGGCTCCTGTGGCCGCTGTCAGCATCTGTCACAGATACACACCAAGCTCTGTTATGTAAGCACACAGGAAGTGAAAGGGGCAAATGGGATGCAGCCCACAAAGCTACTGTTTGGAAGGGACAGGGCAACTGAGCAGGCCAAGGAGGAAGTTTGAGATTGGACTAGTTTGGAAGTCAGTATAAAAATGGGTAGGTAATGGTTACAGTGACTTGAGAAGACCAATTAGTCAAGCTGGCATTATTATTAAGGTGTACAATATCGAGTCAGTGCATACTGTAGCTGTCTGACGAGGAATGTTTACCGGTGCTCATTCACCATTTTAGTCATACTTTCAACAGACTGTATGAATCAATCAAACTTAATGAATTTTAGCTTATATTCATGGAAGGGCAAATGTTGGGTGGCCTTGGTTTATCAGATGTTTTATAAAATGATTAGTGTCTTGTGAGGGGGCAGTCTGTCACCATATACAAACAAAAGGAGCTGAAATGTGTCTGTTGGTAAAGACACACTTTATTGTTCCTGCAAAAAGTTGTTCTCGCCATATTAAACCCATCTCTTAAAAAAAGAAAACATGTCAGGAGGAGTGGTCACGACTGCATTTATAGTGTCAAAGGAGGAAACCCACCCCTTAAAACATATACTGCATCAAAGTGCCTCAAATGTTCAATCCAAACTGGTTTTCCTGCTGAAGAGGGAAGACAGGGAAGGCTCTGGGGCATTCCTCAATCCAATCATCCATCCATGTCTCACATTTTATTGTAGAGGCACCCTCTATTCATTCAACAATCTGCTGCACAACTAGGAGAATTCCGAGGCGTTCCAGTGTCTCAGAGCAAGTGACGCTTTTTAAAAAAAAATTCCACCAGGTATCGGTTAATATCAAGTATTGACCAATACCAAAATCCCAGGTATTGGTATCAGATTATAAGATGAACACAAATTAATTGATTGGATTTGAACAACTGGACCGTTTCACTAACCTGGCAAGAGCCAGATTGATGATTGTGTAGAACTCCAATGCGTTCTCCACAATATCAATCTGGGACTTCTGCAGGACAATCCTTTCGGGAAAAGGAGGGATAAGCAGCAGAATACTTCAAGCTGATTGGGCGAAGTGACGCTGTGTGCCCGCCTACCAAGGTTTGACTTTCCCGGTAACATAATATCGTCATCGGCGTGCACAAAGCGCCTCTCGCTGTTCATCTTTCAAAAAAGAAATTGGAGATTCTGCTAAAACTGACTTGATAGCCTCAGCTACGCGTCCGTCCTCCTGCGTAGCCATGTTTGTTTTGCTTCGGCCCGGCACTTCTTGCTTTCGTCAAACCCGGATATCCCGCCCTAAACCCCCGGACTGGCGCGTGATTGGCTTGAACATGTATTCTCGAGTGTTTGTGAACTCACAAATACCGCGAGAATTCAGCTTGCAGGCAAGGTTACCGTTTCACATGGAGTTGCCCAAACTTACCTTCATTTGTTTGACAGTGTATCTCAAGGTTCCAAAAGGCCCATCTCGGAGCAGCTTCTTGCCCACCACTTTTGCTCGGATCACTGTGGACACACACACACACACACACACAGGTCAGTCAGATAAAATCAACAAACCACATTCCTACGACATAAATCTTTGGGTCCAGTTCCACGAGAAGGCATTAGCAGCCTTAGATAAACACCAGATCAGAACCAGGTTGGCATCGCCGCTAAGCCGTTTATCCGATTTTCTGCATTGCTGGTGTTTGCCAATGTGGGTCGTTTGAGAGAGGAAATTGGAGACGACTGAAATTCACATGACGGAGGGCAGTGTTGTTATCTTGATTTTGAACAGACTTCCTTTTGTACGACATGATGCTATCTGTGATGATAGTGTCATGAGGGCTTGTTCGGTCTCATGCAGGTGAGGACTTTACATTTAGAAGGTATTTTGGAACAGTTTTGTGCTCTGAACTAGACAGAAGATACAAGTTTCCAATGGTTCGTTTAATTCCCGATATTAATTAGAAATATATAAATTGGATGAGTTGACAAAGTGCTGTAGATAATTTACAATACCAAAATAGTGCAGTAGAATAAAGAATCTTTAAAGATAATTATGAAGTAGTGATTTAAAGGCAGTGAACCAGCTCCTTCCGTAACTTTGGTCCTTACAATTGTATATGCTTTGTCTCCCCTAATCTTTTCACCATAGATCAAATTAAATGAATGTGCTTTTTCATGAGTGCATGACGTTTGAAAAAATATGTATATATGATGATAATAATATGATAATACAATAGTAATTTCATTTTCATCCCCTATATTATTCCATTTCTGGGGGTGCTATGTGATGGCGGGCCCACGGGAAGATGGCTGCTTCGACGAAGAGAGCTGCTTCGGCCTTGGTGTTTCAGCGGGGGCTTTGGGCAAAGTGCGGTTAAGTTGAGAACCCACGACCTTAAGGTTCAAAGACCAATGCTCTACCAACTGAGCCACTGTCGTCCCAATAACAATAGAATACAGAGAGGCAATTTGTTGTAAATATTCACCTTAGCTGTCACCTTCACCAAATAACAGGGTCTGTGTTTGGTGTTCCATCCTACACCGTCTTAAAAACTAAAAATATCATCTCTGTATTTATTTACGGCAAACAAACTGTTGGTTCAAGCTGGGGTCTTGGCGCCTAAAATAAACGTCCCGCCATGACTTTCTTTGGCTCTTATAGCTTCCTGTTTACTTTGCCGTATTTGCAAAGGACTGACAGATCCGGCCCGCACAAAGCCAGCAGAGGACCACGCCACACGCCTCATTTCTCCTACTCCTGTTCAAAAGGAGTCTCTCTCTCTCTGTCTTGCACTTTCTTTTGTATGTTCTTGGGGGACTGCTTGCTCACCCCTAAATGAGGAATGCTAAGGGAAATACCGCAGCTGGGAGATAACAAACGTTGGTGTTGGTTGTGTCTGAGAGCAGCAGGTGAACATACAAGCTGATGTGTGAAAATAAACAAGCACCAACAAGGATATTGAGATAGAAATCACACAGAGGGACGTGATATGTTTGCTCTGCACCGAGGAGCGACTGGGATGAATCACTGAACTCTGATTGGCTTTGCCCCCCAACTGGTCAGAGCTTGTTAACAGCTGGTCATAGATTTAGATCAATGCAACCAGGATCTCAAAAACAGACCTGGAGTTTGTTTTGGAACTTTGAGCACAGCTGTCTGGAATAGTATGATATTGTTGTAGCACTATGAGAGTCACACTCAAAGCAAACTAAAAGTAAATAAATCGATAGCATTCACAAAGTTATGCAAATATATAAGACTTATCAATAAATGAAATACATGACACTGTGTGAGTGGCACGGGGGCAACGTTTCAACTATATCTATAATGAAATAAGAATACATTGAAGAGCAGTAAGTAAGTAGGTCCTATACATTCTAGAACACAAAAATTAGGAAAGGGGCACTTTCTTTTAGCCAAGAACCAGCATTAAGGTAAGGCAGTTTAAATAAGTTGCAATAGAATCATCACTGACCATGGTGTAAGTCCAGTTAACAAGCACTTAAGTTCAACAATTGGCCATCAGTCTCTCGGCGGTGGAGTGAAGACTGTCACAAAAGCTTTTAGTTTTGGTCTTTAAACCGCTCACTCTTTGGCTAAGGCCCTGTTTAGACGAAGACGGTGCGACAGTAAAATGGTAGAGTTGGGTACGGTTTGGCCTCCTGTTCACATGAAGATGGTGTTTCAGAGGGGTGAAAACGCAAGTGTTGAGTGGAACAGAACAGATATGCTGCTCAGCGAGAACTTTTTCACAGCTGTATGAAGCAAAAGGTGTGAATTCTCTGTTTCTCTGACCTCACCACTTCCCGCACGTACATATGGACATGCGCAGTAGCCGAGAACACACGTAACCAACAATGGCGGCGGATCAACTAACTAGCTATGTGTGTTTCGAGCGTTACACGGAGGAGAATTCTACTCCTTCGTTCATCCAAACAAAACCACGTGAAGTTGTAGTTTCAGTTTATATTTTCGCTGCTACTGTTAAATGCAGAATGATGGTGCATGCTTTCACGTCTTTGCAGTGGTCCGACGAGGATGTTGTTGAGGAAGTGATTATACTGCTGGGGGGGCTGGGGGTCGCGTTTGTTGTGTTGTAAAGCCCGGCCCACTACTGGTCGGGCACTAGATCTACATTGTTTTCCATCATCGTCTAAACGCGGTGCAGGAGCACGACCAGGTCGTTTTTGCTGATTGCTTTGCAGCGTATCCGCAGCGTCTCCGTCTAAACGGGGCCTCAGCTGGGTGGTTGCCACCAGTAAACATCCAAACACAGTATATAATCTCCATCCTTAGCTTGCCCGGTTAAACTGGAAAATAATGTTTTTATGTGAGTGTAATTTGCAGCAAATAGGACAGGGAACACTTATATAAAACATTAAGAATGAAAAACCTAATAGAACATGTCTCAATATGTTTTTTTTCTGAACGTATCTCTCAAATTTAGAGAGTTAGAACTTATATCTCTCAAGTTTTGACATATCACTCTTAGCTTTTTCCCTAAATCCAGACTAAACATCCCAGGTGTGGAAGCCTGTTTGGTTTTCATCCAGCAGTAGTTTTGACTACTGACTCTCCCCTGAGCATTCACAGACATGCACACACACACACACACACACACGCACGTATGCGGGCACGCACTCACAAACACACACAGCTTTGTATCTGATACAAGTTTTCTTTTTGCTAAATCACCCAAAAACAACACTAAAACAAATGTATTATGTCATTACTCTCATAATGTCTGTTGATGAGGTTAAAGACGCCTGAAATAATCCATTACTCCATCTTTCATAATACGTAGCTCCATCAGCAGTGGCCTTTGTAAAGTCCAAATAACTTGCCACTCGAGTAATTATGACATATGGACAATTACAGCGGAATGTGCAGTGCTGGCCACAAACTTCACTTGTGTAAGGCTGCAGCAGTCTGACACTGGGTTTATTGTGAACTACTGTAAATGCAAAGATGGGACAACATTCTAAGTGTAGCAGTGTGTGGTCAAACTGTGAATGTCAATATTCTGCAGCAGTCTGGATATAATGTCAAATGTATTATTAAATGCCTTTAAAAAGAATATTAATTTAATATTAGTAAGCTTTCCCTGTTACTCATTCAAATTCTTTGTGTCGGTGATGTCAGCCACATAAATTGTCTTGATTTTTAAAAAGAATATGTATTTATGTATTTTTTACGCAGTCCCTCTTTTTGGCAACTAGGACTAGTAACATTTTCAGCAGGAGAAAAGTGACGAAAAGTTAAAAAAAAACAATGAGATGTTTCTCCACTGAAAATGTAAAGACATGTAAAAAAAGATATTGAGATCGTTGATGAAGTTGAATAAAACCTGAATGAAAAGGAATCTGTTAATAAAAAATATACTAAATGTCAAAGTGTCCAAAATGTTGTAAACATACAAATTGCAAAATAATTGTGTGAAATCATCTTGCGACCCCCACTCAGGAAAGCACTGTCATTATACATGCTCAACACACATCTAGCATAGATGCATGAGCTAAATTCCTCTCAAATGGCCCCCAGAGTTCAAACTGATATCGTAGATTTTTAGAGAGTTATGCAGGTTCTGTTTGAGCAAGATTTCTGCCTGGATTGCACTTAATACAACTCAATGTACAGTATAATGTGTGCTTTCTGCCGTTCTTTGTAGATTTAGAAAATAAATTTGTCCAAAGTTTGCCTCGCCTACCACTAAAAGGGAACAGTTAGGACGGCCCTTCCAGTCGACGCCAAATGTGAAAGGAGCCCACTCAGAAGCAGATAGCAGCGTCTTGTTCTAACCAATTAGTCCTGCAAAGATTATAACCAGCCGTTCACTTTCTCTCGACCTCATGACCTCCTTCACAAAGCATGATATTGACTCAAAGTTTCAGGTCGCTTTCGTCACAAAGAAACTACATTACAAGCGTTTATTTAACCCAGATTTGAAAAGAGCTCTTGCATCATAGACGCACTGTGTGCTGAAGTGGGTGAGGTCTCAGGTGTACAAAAGAACATTTCATGACAGGTATTTTTAAGATTTTTGGGTCTATTCATGTTAAGTATTGCAATCTTATCTTGAGTCAGCAGCTCTTTTCAGTCAAAAGCACCCATTTCACAAGTTCTCTTTCTGACCACCAATTATAATACTCCACTTTTGAGAAGCTGGTGGAAAATGCTAAATAGGGAGATGCATGTTTTCTCAAATGGAAAGACATCCAAAAAAGCGTGTAAATAAGGCCAACGACTGCATTATGTGAATGCAAGATTCACATAATTAACCCTTTAGGGAGTGTTTGCATTTATTTTATGTGAAACAACAAAAAGGGGAGCCCTGAAACTGCATGAGTGGGAGAGCAGTGGTTCCCAAAGTAGGGGTCCTGACTGTGGTTAATGTCCACAACAGAAGAACCCAGAGCGGGAGAAAAGTCACATGTGCCAGAGGTCAGGCTGATGGTGCCCATCACCAAGCCCATCACTTGAACTTCTGCAGAGGTTTGTCTCTGTTGCTGGTCTG